TGGTGATGGCGTCCAGCATGTTGTCAGCCCGCATCAGATGACCATGCATCGAGAGACTATCGTAGCGCACCGTGACGGCATCTGGGCGCTGGAAGTCGAAGACAGCATAGGCTGTATCGTTCTCGTCGAGGTAGAAGACGCGACCGTCAGAGCTGACGTACTGAGGAATGGCCGTGTAAGTGGTGTACTGGTCGCCGCCGCTGAAGAAACCTTGCGAGTCCTCGATGGCCGTGTATGGCTGGTCACCACGTCCGACACCCTGCTCGCGGGAGAAGATGGGGATCGACCGATTCTTCATGGAAGCGAAGGACGCCTGCGCACCGAGACCGTAAAAGTCCTCCCGCGCGTGCGATGCGAATGTGAGATAGAGACGTTCGACGGGGACACTGGCATTCGCATCCGAGTCAACAGTGGCTTCAAAGGCAACACGATCCGAAAGGGTCTTAGGAACCCAAAAGTTCATGGCATAGGCAATGTCCTCCCCACCACAGTCCAGGAGATAACCGCGCACAGCGACCTGGTTCTTCACACTGTCGCGACGAGGGATACCCGCCAGTTGGGTGATATTCTGGCCTTGGCATCGGGCCTGGGCCACGTTGGTGATGTTGAAGTTGCCGCTATCCTCGACAATCTGGTCCTTCCCAGCGCTGGCACTGAGGAAGGGTTGACCGGGGAGGGTTGAGAAGATGGTTTGGTTGTCTTGATGGATGGAGATCTGATGTTGGCTTGCCTGGTAGGACAGCTCCAGTCCACTGCCCAGGGGCCAGGTTGACCGGGCCTGCCCCAATGAGGGCAGGGCAGTCAGCATTGCCAGGGCTCCCAGATAGGTCAACGGCATCTTGGGCGAGACACTTGATCCTGTGACGATGCTACTAATGTCCCGGCTTCCAGTCCGGCTTTATAGCTAGGCTTCCCCACCGCGTCCGGATCACTAGATGTCATCATTGCCATTGCGAGCCTCCACCCGGTTGAATTGATGGGGACTATACATGAGTCGCTTGCTCGTAAAAGGCTCCCATCTAGGACAGACAACGGTTGATGGTGGTGCAGGACTCGGCTCAGTTGCCCTGTGGGAAAGAAATGAAGGACCGTGTAGAAGCAAAAGCAAACCCTACGAGCGGACATTTCCCGACTCTGGGGCAGGCAGTGGACCCTTCGGCAAAGCTGGCCGAAATGCGTGAAGGGCATTCGATCGTATTTAGTCACGGATGGAGGCATCGGAAGCCACGAGAACCAGCATGCCGATTCTTACCCGAAAGAGTCGAGTGTCCACTATCTGGGGAATCCGGAGAGTCTCCAGACGCCAATGATGTTCGTTCAACGGCTGCCCTCTTCCCCACAAAGCCGGCTGGGGGAGTTGATCAACTCGGCTAATGAGGTCATATTTCCTGAATTTCAAGCAGAACCTATTGATCTATGTTCTGCCGACCATGTTAGTTCTATGGTTTCCCTCAGTACCGGCCAATCGTTGTATCGCCCCATCGGGCCCTGGTCAGGCCATGGGCTCGAGCTTCTGCTGCTGCAGGATCAGCCTAGCGAGTCATATACTTGTCGGACGACGGTGTAACTAGTGGTCAAACAACTACACGATGTTGAGTAGTCGATGGCTGTCTCCACAACTGGAAAATTTTGATTACGCTTTTTCTGGATGGTTGCACAAGTCTCACGGCCCTTCAGCAACGGCAATCTACAGGAGCTGCCTATAGCCTGTCGAAATCTCCAGGAGTACCCGTTTTTGACTGCAGAGCTGACGGGGAGGTGAGCCCCTGGGTCCCTGTGTCGATTCCGACCGTGCAGTATCATCCGGGTCACATAGCTTAAAACAAATCTATATCTGGACCATCGTCCTAGTTGTTGAATTGTTGTCTTGCATTCACCCTATGCCTGTTGTCGGTCAGCCGACTGCCCTCGTATCCTGTCTGCCCATAGTCATTTGTTTTGGTTCTCATGTCGTAGCTGCTTTTATCTCCTCATCTGTACTAGCGGTGATAGCTCAGGTAGGCTGTCCACTGCTAGCTAGGAGTGGAAGAGGGGACTTTGTTGGCCAAGAGGCATGTCCCTTTTAACATGCTACTCACAAGTGATTTACCACTTGAAGTGCGTATTCACTGATACTCTGGCTCAGCTCGATATTCGAATGGGGATTGTTTTTCCTATGCTTGCTTCGCAGCACCAATATGATAGTGGTGGTGTCCAGCTTCAACTGGCCATATTATTACCAGTCGGTATACGTTCCCTTGGTCCTGTCTGAGAAGATCCATGGTAATGCAGCCTCCTGCATAGCCCAGACTAGTGCCAAAAATAAATTATGCTTATACCTTGACAATGCACGGAACGTATTTTTAGAAATCGGTGGTCAGAGGCGCGAGGGGATTAAGATTTACTTCGCCCACCCCCGACCGCGGGGAAATGGCGGAGGGTGATGATGCAGGGTTTCATCTTTCCCGACCCTCAACATAATCAGAAGATCAGGCACCCCATCATCATGCGATAGTGTGTTTTTCTAGCCTGCAGTTGGCAGTGCAGCGGAAGTACGGCTGGGCATGAATTCTACTCTGTCCGAGTGCCTCCTCGTATAGAGACCGTCGGCCTTGGGGTCGATGATGTCACCATCCAGGTACTCCAGAGTTTGAACTACAGGATCAAACCCTTTCTCCAAAGGAGGAATAAGCCCCGTCCTTTCTTAGTTCGGGTTGCGAGGAATCCAAACGGGAAGATACGAGGGCAAGTTGGGAGATTGATTGGCGGAACCATATAATGCCTCTTGCGGAGGGTTCAGCCGCTTCCAGCAGTATCTCGACGTAGCACTCATTGACGTTACTAGAGCCTCAATAATCTGTCGTTGACTATTCCCCATGTATATCCAGCTACCTGCATGGCGAAAGTTGACTATGTCTACGTTTCAGGCATAAACCTCCCCACTGCCTGAAAACGATGTCCTTTCTATCATATACCCGCGATAATGAGCATCGTGGACGACCAATGAATAACTTACAGCTTCTTTGTGTTTTCGTGATACCGAGGATGGATATGCGCAATGTTTTGTGGACAACGGCCAACCGTACGGCTGCCACTACCCATGGATCCCCTCGGGGTGATGCGAGAGTTTCCCGGTTCAGCCGGTGGTTATGCCGGTTACCATTTCGTGAGTTAGACATATTCATTGCTGTGCCTCGACGGAAATATGGTACGTCTCCAGCCAGCTCCAAGTCACCACACTGACCAACCCCCATATTACCAACTTTGACTGCCGTCTCCGAATCATCAAAATGACTGGAACAGGCTAAAACCCATAAACAGCAGCGTCATGACCCTGTCAACATTCATCCCGAATAGGTCAGTGTAGGTAGAAAAAGGGTCGCCTGATGAACAGCTTCCACGGTTTCTGTCAGATGAGGTAATTGTATTTCTCGTATAGAGCAAAAGTGGTACACGGGGATGCCGTAGGTCTTGAGAAATTGCCCAGTGTCTATACAGTTAAGGTGCTGGACTTGTTCCCTTTTCTGTCTATAAAAGGCCGGCGAGTCTCGTCTATCGATGACTCTCCAGCAGCTCAAAACAAGTGAGTCACATTGCAGACGTACTACTACCACTCCACTGGACCTTCACTAGACGACCTCCTTTCAACATGAAGTTTACTTTGCTTCCTGCCCTTCTTTCGACCTCTGTCCTTGGGCTCAACATCGGCAGAGCGCATGGTACTGCCCAAGTCACCTTTATTGGCGCAGCTGGTGCCCAATTCACCCAGGACTTCCCCACTGACGGGTCCAATGTCAAGATAAGTACGTTTCCCGCGCACGGTTCATTATGTATCCAGTCTAATATCACTAGCCAACCCCCTCAGTATCTCACACATATCTTGCAGCACCCAGGGTGCTGTCTGTACCTTTGATGGCATTGATCACAGCGTGACTACTGTGACCGGCGTAGGTCAGGTTGACGTCGGTCCTCCGCAGACCCAGGTTCAGGGGTCTTGCCGGTTCGGATCTGGATCGACTCCCAGCAATCCCGGTCAAACACAGCCCACTGGGGGTCAGGTGCTCATCACTTTTGTCGGTGCTGCAAACGCCCAGTTCCAGCAGCAGTTCCCAACCAACGGTGTCAGCATCAAAATCAGTACGTATCAGGCAAACTATATCATTTGGGAAAGCTAACCGAGGAGCCCAGGCAATCCCCTAAGCATCTCCCACATCTCGTCCACCACGGGTGGCGTTAAGTGCACCTTTAACGGCATTGACAACAGCGTTACTACCATCAATGGTGCCCAGACGGTCGATGTTGGTCCTCCGCAGACCCAGATCTCTGGCACATGCTCTGCTGCTTGAGGTCATTGCAAGTCATTGTCTCCGTGCCTCTTCGGAGACTGATGTGAATGCAGGAGCGGTGTGTGTTTGCCACGGCATGCTTACATTACTTCTGACTTGATAGTATTCTGTGGTCGGATTTCAGTTACTTGCTCTTACAGGTATTCCGGTTGTCGTTAGCTGTGATTGGATTGTTTAAGTAAATACTTCCTGCATGTATTGTCTTGTTTTTGGGCATGAGGACGCCCAAGACCTAATTCGGAAGGTAGCACACCTGTACGATGCCTTTCCAACTGAGTGCTTTGTATCATAACTGGAATATACATCATAAATGACAGTCGTACTCCACGTTAGCGACCTGGCGTTTTGAGATAACAGGTCCGCTATTGCCTTACTGAATCCAAGAAATACAGCACCTACACCTCGTCTGTCTTATCGAGTATCCTCTACGCTGTAATTCATGTTTATCTACGATTTATGGAAGATCGATCAAAAGAATGACTCATATTCAACTGGGGCCCCGCAAAGTAATACTAGAAATCAAAACTATCTACAAATTCCTCCTCCAATTCGTCACTCAAATGCTGAGCCGATCACATCATCACATCACTGCATGCCAATCAATCCGCTGTGGATTGAGCTGATCGACGTATTCTGCCACCGTTCCAGTTACAGTGACAGGCCTCGTGGGCACGCTTACTCGTAGGTGATGGTCACCTCGGAGTCGCTGTCGATGGTAACATCAGTGACCACCTGGCCATTTTCCTCGATCTCGATGATGGTAGCATCCGTAAGGCCAACGCTCTGGCCTCCTGCGGCCTTGGCAACAGCACCGGTGAAGGTGACAGTGCCAAAGTCCACCAGGTCGACGAGGGAACCATTTTCCTCGAAGTCTAGTATCCCGTTAGCGTTTGACAAAGTTGGGACAGGAATGTGCGGCTGATAATACCTTCCACAATCCACTCTGCGTTCTGTCCTCCAAGGCTGGAGCTGGATGACAGCTCCTTGGTGACCTTCTGGCCGGTGCTCTTGTTCTCAATGATAGCAATACCGGTGGTCGAGGTGTAGGACTCGACAATGGCAACAATCTCATCACCGGCAGAGATGTCGATGCCGCTGAAGTCGTAGGCGTAGTCCGGGTACCACTCATACCAGGCATCAAATGAGGCCTCTCCATCAGTCACGGTGAAGTCAACACCAGTCTGGAGGATGGCGTTTCCATAGGTATCTCCATCGATACCAACCCAGGCAGATGCAGCCTGACTGCCTCCAGAGTTGCCAGTGGGCTCAGGAACAGTGAAGGTGCCGGTCACCGCAGTGTAAGTCGCCGCGGCAGAAGGAGGCTCCACCAGAACCGCACCGGACCAGTTGGAGCTGTACTCGACGTTGGTCTGGTTCTTGGTCGAGGCAGGTCTGGCGACTGCCTGGAGGGGTCGGGATCCCTTGCCGGCGCCGCGGGCCTTGAGGCGAGCCTCGAGGCCACGCTCGGGAGCCGCGACAGCAACGCTGGCGAGGATGGCAGTAGCAATTGCAGCAGTGAACTTCATCTTGATGAGTTGGTGGGTGGTGAAACTGGGAGAAGAGGTGTTTGTGCGTTGGAAGAATGAGCTTTGATGTCTTGAAGAACCTTGTAGTGAGATAGAGATGAGATGAGAAGAACAGCAGATTTATCCTGATATTTATAGATTGGCTCTTGGATAAGTATCGATCAGGTCAACGCTCTTCACTAATGGCATCATTCTTCCTCATACCATCCTAGAAGCAACGCCATGAACACTTTGCGACGATACCACAGCGAACTGCCTGCAGAAAGTGGCGACATCCCGACTGTCCATATTGAGATGCATCGGAGTCCGGTGGTGGAATCAAATCACCCTACTAAATTCAGGGAGTTTAAATAGCGTCCGCCGTTGGTTATGTGCTCAGTAAGATTCCAGTAGTAGCACGTCTTACGCGACGCAAATTGCAAGTCAAATCACGTTAACCACCATCACCTTGCACCAAGAAACCTTTAACCTGTCCATCAGTGTTTGATATCTAGCTACGTAGTGTAATATAATTTGTATAAGCGATCTAAACTCAGGGGTTTGCATTTATAATGGATACACTGGTCTTTAGAGAGAGATCCGGCCTACCGACGAACAAGCTATACACAGGGCATCGTCCGCATCCAGGCACCACCGCTAAGGATGCCAAGGAATCTGTTAGAACAGCCATGTAAGCCCAGTTAATCTATTTTGCTCGGCATTGAAGCAGACATTATCGGCATGACGGCCTATCACCTCCGCTCAGGGCCATTGAGCTTGAGGTCAGAGTTAGTTTGCGTCATTTTGGTTCGGATTACCTGACCCCTCTGCAGAACCCTTGAGCTAACTGCCCCCGGAGAGGGTCCTGCTCCCGTTAAGTCCGAGTCGGGGTTTTTAGTAGTTGATACGTGGTAATCGCTCTCCTTGACGAGACTAGAAAAGGATGGTCTCCGTTATCTACTACAGTCAAGAGTCCCTTGGGATTTGCTGCTATTCGAGTGTGGTGAATTACACAACGGAAAGGCCAGGTTGCGTCATTTATATATCCTGATATCCGAACCATGTGTGCCTCCAGGACTGTCTTTTTTTTATCTCTTGCCTATGTCGCCTTCTTTTCAGTCGTGGTGTAAAGGAATAGAGGAAATCATACGGGACTCCCTGCTCCAGCAACCGGCTTGGCCCGCCCTAGGCACCACTACAGGTGGATTTAATTCCATTTGGCGCACAGCCAGTACAACAGTTCATTCTTGACGGCGACTGGGGTACTATTGATCCTCTGTTATATGCAAGGTTCTGTAACTACCAGTGATTATCAGAAATTGCGGTGGCTCTGGCTATCGATGCAAGACGGTCTAATATGAGAAGCAATTACTCTTATGAGTACGACAAAGATATATTTGGATGACACGCGCATTAGATTGGAGAATTCACGCCAAAATCTTCATAAATCGAACAGTATGGTAGACCGAGCACAAAATCGAAGTAACTAGTCCTTCTGCAGCTGTAGTATTCACCACCTAAACAGCCGGAGGATGGTGGGCGAAGTATATACACCTAAGGAGATTCTGCATTGGACGACTCCAACGATGGCCCCTGTTTTGGTATTGGTATCCGGAACAGACCGACAGGACCCACGCCCCGAGACATTCCTACCACTCAAATCTCATGTCACGCAAGGAGGGGTTACGGCTGGGTGGGGAAGATGGCTTGCTCGCCTCGTCGACAGCGCATTGTGATTGATTGATTCGATTGATTCGCTTTTCGAACCCCGCCGCTAACGTGTGCCGCCAGTTCCGCTTCGGACTCGGCGGTCAGGAAGTTGAACTTCAGTGTCGCCAAAGTCAATAATCATCAGATTTAACCTACTGCCGCCAAAATGTCCACCCAGGATGAAGACATCAATGCTCCTCTCCTGGAAGGAAATCTTGCGCCAGAGTATGGGAGTACTGCAGGCCCTGCGTCTAGCCTAGCGCCCCATGCCTCATTTCGGCGGAACTTGGGCACGTCCGAGGCGTTCAGCATCATCATCAATATCGTAATCGGAAGCGGGATTTTCACCTCTCTTGGCGCCATTGACACCAATGTCCCCTCCCCAGGTGCGGCCCTGGTCGTTTGGTTTGTGGGGGGCATCTTGGCTTGGACAGGTGCTGCAACTATGGCCGAGCTCGGGGCGGCGATTCCGGGTGAAGGTCCGTACAGACCCTCTGTCTTCGATTCCCCTTCACCAGCTCACTCCTTTCGCCGCAGGAGGCGTCCAACAGTACCTCCAGTATATCTATGACGAGGCCTTTGGCTTCCTTGCCGCGTGGACATGGGTCGTTGCGGTAGTGCCGGCCTCACTCGCCATCTTGAGCATTGTGTTTGTGGAAAGCATCTACTCTGCGACCGGGGTGACCGATCAACCCGATAGGATGGCACATAAGCTTTTATCCTCTCTGGTGTTGCTCATAATTAGCATGGCGAACTCGGTCAGTACCCAGTTCAGCACGCGGCTTAACACATTCTTTCTCACCACAAAGTTCGCTGCTATCGCACTCACTGTGGTTGCGGGACTGGGTGTCGTCCTCTATCACCTTGCTGGCTGGGATAGGGATAATTCAGGCGAACCACAGGACTGGCTGACGAGAGCCTGGTTTGGTGCTCGCAACACCGTTGGCTTGGACGGGAGGGAGATAGAGTGGCAGAAGTTACATGGGTGGGAATCTCTCGGTCATTATTCCGCCGCACTTTATGGTGCACTGTGGGCATACTCTGGATGGGATAAGGTATGGGGCAGTGAAAGGGCTGCTAGACAAGTCCCCGAAATATGCTTTGATGATGGCTAACCCATCGCCAGGCAATCTATGTCAGCGCCGAACTTTCTTCTCCGGCCCGTTAGTTGCCTTTAGCCATCAATACCGCGGTTCCCATTGTCATCCTCAGTTTCATCGCAGTGAATATTGCCTACTATATCCTCCTGCCTTGGAGAGTAGTGTCCACAACAGATAGTGTAGCAGTGGTATGAATATTTTCATGGGTGTCATTGACATGGAAGTGAGTAAGCATCGCAGACTGACATTTTGCCGCAGACATCGTTTAGTCACCTACTTGGACCAACATTTGGGGCCATAGCAGCGGGTCTTATATGCCTGGTGGTGGCAGGATCCTTGCTGGGAAGTTCGTTTGTCGCCAGTCGCATTGTGGTTGCTGCAGCCAATTCCAACTGGCTGCCCGCCTTCCTGGCCCGCATTGGCTCAGTTTCAGGGCGATCGACCTCGACAGCAGATGCCCCCATCAATGCGATTCTCTTCTCTACCGCCTGTTCCATTGTCTACATTTTCTTCGGGAACTTTCGGGTCTTGGCGACATTCAGTGGTCTGTCTGCGTATATCTTTTTCTTCCTGACCATGGTCGGCGCTATCATCCTTCGGGTTCGTGAACCAGAGCTGCCCCGCCCGTACAAACCGATGATCTGTGTTCCCGTTATATTTGCTCTGGTAAGTGGGTGTGTGGTTGCTCGTGGCGCTGTTTTTGCTCCTGTGCAGGCCGCGGTGCTCATTAAACTGTGGCTGGTGGGCCTAGGGTTGTATAGTGCGAGGAGGCAATGGATAGGGAAGGGAGAGGCGGAGAGTAGCGAGCAATAGCTTCGATACACGATGCAAAAGCGTGAGGGAGGCGCGCTGGATGACAGCTCAAACCATGTGTTTCCCAGTCGGGTCAATTTCGGGATCGCCCTTGTGGAATTCTTACAAAGGGCAAAAGGTACTAGTCCCCTCACCCTGCTGGTGAAAAGTGGCCGGGGATGCGTTCCCCGCATCGATGGGAAGATTGGTCATAATGAAGTAGTGGTGAGTTGATTTCCGTCAAGCAATTCACCTGGCTGACCTGAAAATGCACCGGAGTTCGGAAGTGCATATCCGATGCACCGGCAAGGACATCACCTTCTGTTGCACAACGGTCGCGACTTCTCACTTGATCACCAGATAATTCTATTGGCCGAGACATTTATTATCACAGCCTTTTCACGGAGGATACTAAGAACCAACAGCATCACGGTCTTTGCTTTGTTCTGGGAATAGAAAAGCAAACCATCATCCTGTGTAATCAATATACGACCAGCGTCATTCATAATATTACCTTTTGTTTACCTTTCGTTTACCGCCCGTTCACTGTCCGTTCACTTCACATTCGCTGTCCGTTAGATCATCGAGCACGGTGGACAGATGGACCACAAGGACAAAGGAATCCCTTGTTTCCCAACTCACCCTGTAATGGATTGGAATGGACCAGACGACCCTGATAATCCTCGGAACTTTTCGCTGGCCAGGCGTTTCGTGGGAATTGCCAGTGTGACCCTGCTGGCTTTTGTCAGTGCCTTTGCAGGTGCCATCTATGCACCCGCACAGACTGCAGTGATGAGAGTCATGAACTGCAGCTCCGAGGTCGCCATGCTCCCACTCGCCCTATATAATCTGGGACTAGCATTTGGGCCCATTGTTGGGGCACCCCTGTCTGAAACTTACGGTCGCAAAGCCGTATATCTTGCAACTACTCCAATATTCATGTTGTTCATGATTGGTGGCGCCGTGTCCAAGACTATATCGGCCCTAACTCTGTGTCGTTTCTTTGCCGCTGTCTTTGGGTCATCAAACATCAGCAACGCCTCGGCAACCATTCTGGACTATACTCATGACAGCGAACGTGGCACCGTCCTCGCTATCTACTATGCAGCCCCAACTGTTGCTGCAACCCTGGCACCTCTCGTTGGGGGACTTATCATGATTCATACTGGAGAGTGGAGCTGGACACAATGGGCACCGGTAATTCTCGCGGGAGCTTTCTTTTCCCCGTTGATCTTCACCAGGGAGACCTATAAAGCGGTTATTCTACGACGTCGGGCGATGCCACTGGGCACGGCCGACGTAAACCGTGAGACAATTATTGGCGCTAGATTTCGGAACCTCTTTATCATTTTAATCCAGCGGCCTATTCATATGCTCCTGACCGAACCGATAGTGACATTCATCAGCCTCTACAACGGCTTTCTGTTTGGTTTGTTGTATGCATTCGTGATTTCCGTTCCTTGGGTTTTTGAGAAGTACTATGGATTCGATACCACCGGCCAGGCTCTTTCGTATCTTGGTGTGACCGTGGGCAATATGGTTGCTTGCATACCCCACGCTCTGATAGACCGGTACTTCTTCCTACCGCGGCTGCAGTCGTGGAAACAAGTCCACGAGCCGAGTCTCAAGATGCCTCCGGAGTCTCGTCTTGTACCAGCTTTGGGGGGCAGCTTGCTACTTCCACCATCGTTGCTGATTCTTAGTTGGACGGCCAACTTCCATGTCCATTGGATGGTGCCCATAGTATTTCAAGGCCTCTCGATGTTTTCCTGCTTGTTGGTGTATTCTGGGACGAACCTTTACATGATGGATACCTACGGTCCACTTTATGGTGCATCTGCCTCAGGCGCAATGATGTTCAGTAGATACATACTCAGCTGCGCATTCCCCATGTTCACTCTCCAGATGTTTGAAGGGCTTGGTGTAGGATGGGCAACAACTCTTTTGGCTGCTTTTACTCTGTTTATGGCTCCGATTCCGTGGATCTTTTGGATTTATGGATCGCAGATTAGGAAGGCGAGCAAGTATGAGACTACACTATGAGCTAGACCTGTTGTATCAAGAGCAGGTTCCTGGATCCTTTGGCCGTGAGGATCCTCCGCCTTTCAGCAAAGCCTTGGAGGAGAAAAGCCTTCACTCAGTCTTGAAGCTGGTATAGACATGAACATATTCTAATCTAAGAAATCATCTACTTACGGTCCAGCTTCCCGCTTCTTTGCGTAGGAGTAGCCTGTCACGGAGGATGAAACAAAGACAATGATGAGCTTGGTTGGCAGCTATTTATCATACGATTCGCGATACGCCTGGCTTTGCTGATTTTCTAGCGTGTCTATTGAGGACGATGTAGGTATAGAAATGGAATCAGAGGATGAGGACTCGACCAACTTGTATGACCGAGACTTGGGTGCGAAGAACGCGCATCAGCTTGGGGGTAACTGTGCTCACTCCACATGGCACACCGTTTACAATTTATGTCTCTTTCGGCCTTCCTTAATTGCCCGCATCTGCTCCCCTGGGATACCCGTTGTGACCATTTCTAGCCCCGCAAAAACCTCGTCGCAGTTTTGCTGACTATCTATGCGTCTCTCCGGTTCACGAATCAAATTTTTGATAGACAGCAAATTAGATTGTGTGGCAATCGGACTGAATCGCTTTTGTACTTCTTCGAGTACCCGCTTCCGAAACCCAACAGAATCATCTGGCTTTCCGGACGGGGCAGAGATAACCTTATTGACGAACCCGTTGGCAACGAGCTCTTCGCAGGGTATCCGCTTGCTCATTACTAAGGCTTCGTTTGCTTTGGAAATCCCAAGGCGCCGTACGAAGGAGCAAGACGCTGCACCCTCAGCCGCGACGCCGAGCGAAGAGAATGGTGTGAGGAGAAAGGTATGGGGCGCAGCATATATGAAGTCTGCATGTGCAATGAGAGCTGCCAGAAACCCGACAACCGGCCCATTCAGTGCCACAATAAGAATTTTGGAGAAATTGACGAGTATATGGGTGAGGTCGAGATTTGAAAAGTACATGCTACGCATGTTGCGTCGTATATCAGTTCCGTGGGACATGTTTCGAGAGGTAGAACTAACATCGGTGCCCCTGTTTTGATCAACGGATACTATCATTAGCTCTTTGGCCACGACCCAGGGTTGAGTGAAGCTCACGCCGAAAAGAACCGTCCCGTGCCGGTCAGGACTGTTATGGTGATTTCAGGTGTTTTGTCGACATTGCAAAGGCTTTCCCCTAACTGAAAATAGTGGTCCTGGTGCATGGAATTGAGCTTCTCAGGGTTGCTGATAGTTATGACCGCTATATGGCCTTGTAGGTGTACTTTAATCGGATTTTGGGCCCTCATCCTGGGTCTCTCATCAATTAGATGCCAATGTTCACACTGTAAAAGCGCTATTCCACATTTAACCAAGAAAGCATCGGTCTCGCCCTCCGGCCTACCAGGCCACCTGCATATGCGGTTACCCCCCTATTTGGGTCGCCTGCATATTAAATTTCGTCATTTGCGCAAGGCATACCTCTGCATGGAGACGATCCTTCTGCAACCAAAAGGCACAATGATCTGGATCTACTTGTTCAGGGAAAACTACCGAATGAGGCGGATTTTATCTTAGAGTTTTCACGAGCTACATGGAAGCCGGGTAGATGGTGACAGCCACACCTCAAAGGTTTGATTTGATCCGATGCGCCTTTGGAAAGTGCACCTTCCAACGTTTCTCGACTGTAGTATTATCCACAGCACCAGGCAATCCACCCCATCTTTCATGGCAGGCCTTTTCCTCCTTACACCAACGCCTTGATTCGCAAACTAACCAACGAGCAATCTCATCCGCACATTCATTGACTGCTTCGAAAGGAATCTGATGTGAATACCCTTTCATGACTACTTCACGCACACGGCCAGCAACAGCTCCGCCACTGCCTCCCGTAGCAACGCCCGTAACCTGAAGTTTATCGCTCCTCAACTCCGGGAGACTTATATGGGACTCACTACCAAAGATATATAGTACAGTAGGTCGCAAATACGGTAATCGAGAAAACAGTGCTGTTATTTCTGGGCGGTAAAAGGGTATCGATGTCAAGAGCTCAGGGTCCAGATCTGGGTGGGTTAGGCGGTTTCTAATATCATTTGGGCCGGCATCAGGAGCAGGGAGGTCATGGTACGGTCGCCCAAACGAGGCAAGCTCCTGGGCCAGCGGAGTAGAAAGTGTCACAGGAGTTGGCCTAGTAGACTGGTTATTCTTCTCATGTGCAGAAGACTTCCTTGGGTCATTCCGCAAGCCATATGTTACCAGCCGCTCGAAGGCACGTGGATCCCAGGTCTGGTAAAAGGCTTTTTGACGAAAGGATTCAGCCGCTGCCTCTCGGGATGGCCAATTTTCTCGTCGATGAACAGAGAACTGTAAATGAGGACGCAGCAGCGTACTGTGATCGTACAGTTTCTTGTTTCTCAGCTGAGTCACTGGACGTGTGATGGGTGGCTCAATGAGAACTACAGCCTGGAAAAGTCGTGGATGGATGAGACACAGGTTGACTCTTAGAAGGAAAATGTTAGCCAGCTATTTGCGACGGCCAGGAATCACTAATCTGGGGAAGCTAACAGTGCAAAAGCTCCAGCACTATGTGCAATAGCAATTATGGGGTGTGGCATTTCATCTCGTTTGACATTGATCAGATGGAGAAGATCCCGGCTATGATCAAAATGGCTTACTGTATGACCGTCAATTATTAGATTGGCTTGTTTTCCAAAACTCCCATAGTGTGTCAGATAGTGGGCTCACCGTCAATTCCAAGAAGTCCTTCGTTGACTATGCTGCTTTGACCCTGATGCGCTGGATCTGCCGCCCAAATACTACGAATACCGAGCCCGTCTCTATTGCAGCGGACCAGCAATTCCTCGCAGAGGGGCTCATAGAGCTCCTATATTTCAGGTAGCGGTTAGTGAGACTTCCTGAAATGAAGACAACCGTGATACTTTTGCAAACCCACTCCCTGGAGCGATTAGAATTGTTACGGCCCTAGGAAGCGGCGTAGGGTCGTTTGTGGGAATGTACTGTTTAACAGCCAGATGAAGAACATCTTCTTGTGTTCTTCTGGTGGCTGCCGGATATTCTCGAATATGTTGGCATGGCACCGTATGCTCAATAACCCGAAAGGTGCTAGATGAAGACATGGCTGATGAGATGGCGCCGCATAGGCAATGTAAGAACGATCGCAGTGGCAAGGTTGCAGTAGCGCATCTACTTGTAGATTACCACCCTACACTATATTCCTAGATCAACCAAGTACCATGGATTACAGGTTTCGCGACTAAAACTAAACAAGAAGATCTATCTCATCACCATGAGTGATTTCTAGCTATGCTGCAATAACAAAGATTTTCGCGTGACTAAGCGCTAATCTCAACTCACAAGTTGCCTTGCATTTAGCGAGCTGATCTGTTACACCATGACATCACAATCTTTCTCCTTGCAACCAAGGCAAGTCTAAACCTAAAATCTCGCACTATATCTATAAACCTGTTCACAATCTTCCCCTTTTAGATCCAATCTTCGCTTTCCTAACTAGTTCCCAAGTATCCTCTGCTGCAGGCTTCACCTTCAAAGCATATTTTGCCCAGTCAGGGCTGGTGGTCTGCCGCTGGACATGCCTGGCAGCCACGCTCTGCAAGAAAACGGTGGTTCGGAATGCAAAGAAAGCATCACCCCACCAAAGGTCTGATTCTGGATCCCAGCCTGCAGCCTCCGCATACCACTGCACGCACTGCGCGCGACTAGGTAATCCCATGACCTTCCTAGAGCAAAACCCCACCACGTCTTGGTCTAGATGGCTCCAGAAATAAGGATGTGTGAGATTGCAAAAGTCCGAAAGCGGATGACCCAGTGTAGACATTTCCCAATCAAGGACCGCGATTACTCGTGATTCTGTAGGGTGAAAGATCAAGTTATCGATCTTGTAATCACCATGCACTACAGCATGTCGATCTTGGGGTCGAAGATCGTGGCGGGAGAAAAACCCGATCATCTCGGTGAGGTGCGGTAACTCTCCTAGTGGTGCCCTTGTCAAGGGGTCTTCCACCTTTTCCTGTGCTCGTGATAGTGTAGTGAATGTCGACAACTGACGGTCATAGTACCCGCCTTGCTTACCAAAACTTTGCAGCCCGATGGAGCGGGTTTCTGTGGTATGGATTTTACCCAACACGCGCACAGCATCTCTCCACCTGAGATTCCAAAGTCAGCTCATGCAAAAAAAAAAAAAAAAAAAAAAAAAAATTAAAAAATATAGATAAAAAGAAAAAAAAATGGCATAGTAGACCGGGAGACTTACAAAGCTGTCCTTTCTGCGGGACTCACTCCGGGCATAGTGGAGTCGGTGAAGATTCGACCATCCAAAAATTGCATAACATAGAATGGTGTCCCGATAACGTCGTCATATTCATACAAACAATACGTCCTAGGGACCGGGACATCCGTATTCTGCAGAGCAGTGAGCACTCTATATTCCCGCTCAATCTGATGAACAGCCCTGGAGAGGAGCTTTCCTGGTGGCTTCTTTCGTAAGACGTACGACACACCACCGGAATCCGTGATTTTGTAGGTTGGGTTAGACTGTCCCACCTCAAACTGTTGTGCGATACCGGTTAGCTCATCATCCTAGCATACTTAGAATGAGGTAGCTCAACTTGTTCTACTTTCAGAGGAGCTCGGATTATGGGTAGCACACGAGCAAAATAGTTCTCCAGGGCATGAAGGTCTATTGGCTGTTGTGGTGCATTAGACATCGTGAAGGAGTCGATGTCTTGTAAATACTGCAACGACTGGAGAGTCTAACAACTACCATATCATCCACGATTGACTGCTACACCGGTTTTATATGCGGACCATGTGCAAGCTAATAGTCCGGAAGGAACAGGCTAAGGGATTAATTATGATGAAGTCCCAACAATTACAGGCCATGGAGAAACTTAATCCCAGAAAATGAAGTTTCATTTGACATTTAGATATACTTTACTGCGACAAACATGAATTCGGTCACTGTATCATGTTAACCACCAGAAGAAAATCCGGACTAGAATTGTGGTTGTGCAGGTTACACAGCGTTGTCGATCAGTTCAATTCGGTGAATCGAAGACGCAAGTCCGGTGGTGGTGTTGTGGCAAACAATCCCGAAGGGTGTGGAAACTTATCATCTTCAGTCTCCACATGGAAGCGCTCAACAATCAGCGCTATTTGCCGTTTGATTTGCGCCATAGCCAAGTGTCTCCCAACACAACTTCGTGTTCCATATCCGAAGGAAAGCATGCAGTTAGTACTTGGAGCGCCTCCTGTGGGCACCTGCTTGGGATTCTCCGGATCGGACCGATCAATCCACCGTTCCAAATTGAACTTCTCGGCATCGTCTCCCCAAATATGACGAGCAGAGTTTATAGCCTTCGGACAGATTGCGATGTTCGTTCCACGGGGAATATGACGTCCCTTGATGGTAGTGTCGCGAATGGCTTTGCGAAGGAGGAGTCCAAAAGAGGGAAAAAGGCGCAGTGACTCCATGACCATTGCGTTCAAGATAGGAAGACGGTCATATTCGTCTTCATCAAGGGTCACCTTTTCACCTTTTCTTTGCAGTACTTCCTTGCGTACTAATTGCTGGGCATCTTGATTGGCTGCAAGACAATAGATCACAAAGGAGAGTGAGCCGCCCGAGCTTTCGAAACTACCTCTTGTTTTAGTAATCTCGTTCAGGTGGAAGGAGACCTGGAAAGGTTTACCCAGCAGCAAGGATGGCGTTTATCTGTCCTGTGTATTCGTTCTTTTCGAGGGACCCCAATTGTAGAACGTTGGACAAGTAAGTAAGGTGGTCATCTTTTCTATCTGTCGCCGCCAATCTTATTTGCACCATCGAACGGATGCCAGTGAAAAGAACAGATTTTGAGGTATCCATTTCTTCTTCCTCGTCGGAAGGAATTAACCTGTCTATCCAGTGTGGCAGTAAGTTATGTAGGATAAACCGTTTCTTCTTCTCACGATTGCTAGTAAACAACGTTTTCATTGCCTTGAACAGGGGGATGTTTTTGCCCTTAATCGTCTCCAGATCAATTCCCAGTGCAACTATACCTGCAGTGTCCATTGTGGCTCTGAATGCAGCGTCTGTAATGCAAACCACGGCAGCTTTTTGCGTGTCACTTTCTGCGACGTTACCTGATACTGAAGAGATATACTCATTAAACTGCCTCGACTTGGCGGTCAAGAGTGGATGAATGACGTGTATGTTCGTTTGATTGAGGACAGGCAGGAAGGTTTTCCGGTTTGCCTTGTGTATCTCCTGTTCCTGTGAAACGAGGTTATCTCCAAAAAACCGATTCGCGTATCGCCGGAAGGCACGTGATTTTTCGTAGTCGTATGAATGAGTCGCGAGTACTTCGACAAGTCCATCCTGGTCTGTAGGAACTATGTACTCGGAGCCAAATAAGCCGAAGAAATGCATCAGTCCATGCGGATAGGGTCTCTCATTGATCCAATGAGTCACTGCCTTCGCTAGAGGCTCGTCAAAGATATCGAACACGTGGTCGTAGAGCCAATTGGCAGACTATAGCTGTTAGCTTCAACCTAGACTTGCGGGAGTATTTTAGTATTGTCTCGAACCTGTGGGCCAGGAATGTCGTTGAAGGCGCTGTGGCTCCTTCTTAGAAGGGTCGTGACACAAATAGCAAAAGGCAAGGAAGTCGACCAGGACACAAAGATGGTACCGATAAGTGACGATGGATTGTTTGTCACAAGCCCGAAATATCGGGCGAGGACGTAAAGGCAAACGCAGCTTACATAGTAAGTAGCTTTGATTATGGTCTCGTATTTTGGCATCTTGTCGGAGTTCTGTGTAACCAGTGAATGGAATGACAGTGTGGATGTATCTAAAAACTCCACTAGAGAATAGGGCCTATATATATGTTGCTTTTCACCACGTTTGGTACGACAAGAGAGATGCGTAAATCGGCCGATGTTTCAAGGGCATTAAATAAGGTAAAAGCCTTTACCGTTTCTTAACTGCTTCTTTCCGACAACCTGCATATAGACCTCTGCAGAGCCTTCCCAATACAACACCCCACCGCCACCCGCTAACGCTCTATCCCGGCATCTTGAGAACAGACTGGATGAAGGAACTTTGCATAATACCACCTCATTTTCACATTCCTTGAGGAGGTCGAGTATAACTGCGAACCGAACGCATGCAGTAATCATGTAGTCATATAGACTCCCCGTATGTCACTTTCCCTTCCTGTCGTTAGTCGACCAAACACCCTTACTTCACCCCTGCTGCTTTTTGGTTAGGGCGCGTCAACAACCAACTTACGTATAACTTAAAAGGTGATTACGGACAGGATTACATAATCTATCAGCGAAACACCGTTAAATGCCTAAGTTACAATTGGCCCGGTGCCCTTTCCCAGCAATGAACGTCGAGTTTACGATGGAAACCCAATCTGTTGATCAGAAGTGGCATAACTTGATTTGGATTGGTGTCTTAAACGAGAACTAAATGTATTGTAAATGTTGTAAGCGGTACATCTTTCCTGCAAGTTGCCTTTCTAGTCCCCGAATAATGCCGTCTGACCATGTACTCACCTGATCAGCAGGAGGAACAGGTAAATGTTAGCACGTGCATAGCATATATCATCAATGTACTCAACCGACCGCCTATCAATCAACCAATATTATCTTTATCCGACATTCTGCAAATTCTCGCGTCTCCATTATCACAGCCCCAGAGAGCCCAAACAATCACATTCCCGTGGCTCTTCTATCTTGACGTTGTAGTCCACATCCAAATTACGGGCTTAAGCGTCTGCACTTATCTTCCGCTGTCCCAGCATATCTGCGGTGGAGGTAGGCTCGATGGCAGTAACAGTGACCCAGAATCAGGAAAGCATGCAACCAGCACCCCACTCCTGTCTTGGTGCAGATTGCGCTGGAGATCAAGCGTCGACGGTCATTTCCAGTCATATGCTTACGGTGGCAAAAGCAAGAGTTAGAGCGTTACAGATCAAGATCTCCACTGATATGGGAATGGTGGAACTCATGACGTAGCAAGACATATCAGCCAACGTTAACACGATTATATGAAAAGTCCATATGGATCTACATCATCCACCCTCATACAATTGAGCCTTTGACGACAATA